AAATAAATAAATAATTAAAATAGATGAATGTGATTTGTTTACTCGTATGTAGATATTAAATCAGATGAGTAGAATAAGATAAATATAAGAAGGATTTTTGTCGATGCATATATGAACAGTTTTCTTAAGACATATTCATCATCTCCTAGGTGCTTTGACTAACGTTGGACGTCGATCTCTCAGGATACAACAACAAACGATCACAACAGTAAGCACAACCGTAATAATTAATCGAACACAATCTTGCATTTCTCTATTACCAGAAAGAACAAATTTGGAAGGAATTTTCTAAGTGTTTCTAATTTAATATTGTGAATTGTGTCTTGCAACTTATGTCGTGATATGTCTTAGAATTGTGCATCAAGTTACCTAGATATAAGGAGAGGAAATAGATTGAAGGGTTAAGATGTTTCGATGAAAGGACGTAACCTTTTGATTAAATGACTTATCCTTTTGATGAAAAAGCTTAACATTTTCATGAAATGATTTAATTTTTTCATAAAGAGAATTGTTGAATATGTACGATTGAATAGATGTAACTTTAAACAAAAAATTAAGTTTATTCACCAAATGACGTGATTTATTATTAATTAGTTATAAATAACATCAATTCATTCAATAATTTTTCCAACATTTGAATATTTTAGGAAACTTTGTATTTTTCTTTTATTTATATTTATATTATTAACATTTAAAAAAATTATTTCCATTTTTATATCGTAATAACTTTCCTTTTAAGAATGAAAAATATATTGTAATAACTTTCCTTTTTCAGAATGAAAAAAATGTCTTCGTTAAAAATTTCAAATGTATTTTTTCAACGTTTAGAGTATGGGTTTTCGAAGATTAAAATCTCATTCGAAAAGTCTTGACAGATTCTATTCACGTGTGTTGCTAAATTTTAAATAAAAAAGATTAAAAAAATGGCTGAAAATATCTTTGGTCCATATAGTCTTTTAATTTTTTTTAATTTGTGATTAATGATTTTATATTTTATAACGATAAAATACTGATAAATAAAGATTTTATAACGACACTATGTGTATTTAATAATATAAAATAATAATAAATTTTGAAAAAAAATCCAGATGAAATTTGAATATACAATTTGAGTAATAATTATCTTTTGAAGTTTCTTATGAATTTTGAAATTTTCTTTTCTTTTTATCTAAACAAATATATTTATTTTGAAATTAATAAAAATAAAATTCATTTAGAAAATTCTTCGTCTGGATATATTTAAAAAATTATAAATTATGAATTTTAATATACTATAATCAAACATGTAATTCATAAAGAAATTGTTCTTCATCTATAATCATTAGTTGAATACAATATTATCAATATATTTTTTATTATGAAATATTTTTAACCAACTTCATGAGTATAATATGTAGTATTAAAACGATCGATACTTTTTATATGGTATTTTAAAATTATTTTCATTAATTTTCAAATTATTACAAATTTAAAAAAAATAATCATAATATCGAAACTTATGAGAGCTACCTTTAAAACGACAATCGTTTGGGTCGTACCAATTTTCGACCTTAATATTGCCAGTGCATATCTCATCTCTTAACAATATCGCGTGCAAGCCACTGCAAGCTTATCCAGATACCGTGCAATGCACGAATTCTTCTTAGCGCGTAAATATCTTCCAAATGGATAATAATCTTAAGACAGTAACTATAGTCGGACAGCAAATTACTTTCTACTCACTAAACGTAAGCCGAAACATATCTTTCATTATTTCCACAAATTATTTTTTTTAACCTTTTTACCATTTTTTGCTAATATTTTGTTTTTGTTTTTCACCTAACTTATATTTCTCCCTCTCCAAAGCAAAGGGAAAACAAAACGAACGACAAACAAAAACAGCACCATTTGGTTTTTCCACCTCTCTTTCACTTGTCGTCCATGGCTCACTCCTCTGCCTCTGATTCCCTCCGCCACCTCACCGTCAACCCTCCCCTTCCGATCTCCAAAGGTAGTTTGCCTCTCCGATTTCGTCTCTCCCCCTAGCATTAAGGATTAACGGCTTCTTTCCTTCGTCTTTTTGTAAAACCCTAACTCTTTCCATGTCCAACTTTTCTCTTTTCGTTTTGATAATTGATGGCATTATTATGGATTCATTTTTTTACGAGGTTGCTGTTTTTTTACTTTTATTTTTTTGTTTGTCTGCTTCGAAGTTAGGGTTTTTGGTTTCTTTTCTATGAGCTTCTGCCTCGGCTTACTTTACTTTGCGACTTACTGTACTTGATATATATATTCAATTGGAAAAGTAAGATGTGATAGGGAAGTACTGAAGTTGTTCAGTTTTTTCTGATAAATTCAACTCAAAACTAGTATTACAAATATTTCTTCAATTTCATTTCTTACACATGTTTTCGTTCACTGATCTATTCAAATGCTAAGATTTATGGTATTAATTCTATATAAAATTACATAGTTTCTATTCCATTTACAAATGACACCTTCCCTTTGTATTGACAATTGATTGCGTAAATTTTTTCATTGTTAGCTGCTTCATGAACAAGTTCTACTGAGAAATTTCTTTGCTTTGTTATTAGTTTGAAATGCCTCATTTGAAAGTCAAACAAACTTCCTAAAAGATGTCTTTTTAGTCTTAATGCATGTGTTTTCTGTTTTGTTTGAGTGTTTGGTTTTCTTATTCAATGCTAGATCAATGTGAAAGTTTCAAGAGGCAAATTTGAACATTTCTCAGAAAAGTTATTCTTTTCTCCCAACAAAGTTAGGGCTTGCATCATTTATGGTGTACCTATATTTCACCATCATTGTATCGGACTAAGCATTTTGATTTTAAATACTTGCTTGAATATATGCCTGTCTCTAATTGATGTTTCTGTTTGTTTAATGTAGATGTTCAAGGATCTGACAATCATATTCCACTTTCACCACCACAATGGCTTCTTTCAAAGCCAGGGGAGAGTAAGCCTGGAATAGGGACTATGGTATGTTATTATTGTTGTTGTGTTAGCTATATGATTCGTGTTGTGGTGTCCTTTTTCATCTCAAGAATCAGTTATTGTTCTGTTTAATATTCCTGCAATCTTAGATCATTTCCCCCCTTAATTTACAATCACCCATACAGGAAAGTAATCCTGCCCCATATCTAGCTCATAGAGGTCGCCCCGAAGTCATGAAGTCATTGGGAAATGGCGAGGGGATGCATGATACCCCAAAGAAGGATGTGTTTAGGCCATCATTGCTTGATATGGAATCTGGTCGGCGAGACCGCTGGCGTGATGAAGAACGAGACGCCCATTCATCTGTGCGCAAAGATAACTGGAGGGACGGTGATAAAGAGCTTGGTGAAACTCGTAGGATGGATCGATGGGCAGATAACTTGCCTTCAAAACAATTTGGAGAAGCACACCGTGTCCCCACGGAGCGGTGGACTGATAAAAGGGAATCAAATTATGATCAAAAGCGTGAGAGCAAATGGAACACACGCTGGGGGCCTGATGATAGAAACAATGAAAGGTCGCAAGATAAATGGACTGACTCTGTAAGAGATGGTGAAATGCCTCTTGACAAAGGGTTGTCTCATCTTTCCAGTCAGGGAAAGGATGCGAGGGAGGGTGATCGTCATCGGCCATGGAGATCCACCTCTTCTCAAAGTCGAGGAAGGGGAGAGCCTCTTCATCACCAAACACAAACTCCAAGCAAGCAGGCTCCCACGTTTTCTTATGGTCGGGGACATGGGGAAAGTCCCCACCCTTCATCATATTCTGGTAGCCATGGAAGGGGAAGTTCTAGTGGAAACTCGGGGGCCAGTATAACTTCTCATCATCAAACTCTAGGAAACATATTTGACAAGCATGATATTGACCATGGGGAGCCATCCCCTTTAAGATATGGTAGGAAAAAATTGCTTGACATATATATGAGGACTGACATGAGAGTTTACCAAAAACTTGTTGAAGAGCTTTTATCAGTGCCTTCTCTTACGCAGAATGAACCACTGGAACCTCTAGCTCTTTGTGCTCCTAGTCCCGAGGAAAGGGTATTTTTCTATTTTTTATATATATGATGGTAAACCTTGGTTTAGTGTCCGCTGTTGATTTTACTGCTTCTTTGATAGGTTGTTCTAAAGGGAATTGACAAAGGGGACATTACAAGTAGTGGTGCTCCACAGATGCCTAAAGATGGGCCTGTCAGCCAGAACTCTACAGAGCTTACTCATTCAAGACGAAACAAGATTGGTATTCAAAATATTCAAGATATATTCAGCTGTAAGTTTGTGTATATTTTGAGGCAGTGTCTAACTTCTGCTGGAACATGCATATACAGGCAGTAGAGAAGATTTACCAACTGCCATTGATGATTCTAAAGAGGAAAGTCCTGACATTCCAAGCAGCAGTTATTCACAGATTGAAAAGCATAAGGGATACCCAGATATTAAATTCAAGTCTGAAGGTATAATTACATAATTCGTTTAGCTTTTGTTTGTTATCACCTCTGGCAACCATCTTGCAATTATTTCATTTGATGTGTAAGGTATTCTCAACTGAAAACTTTGAAACAGATGAGATTTTGTTCCATGGGTACTTGTACTAAATAAATACTTCTTCATGGGTTGGAACAAAAAAGATGACTCAGGTAGCCAACTTGAATATGTTTGTTTTTGGTTTAAAGGCTAGTTGAATTTTGATATTAGGTTGGTGGTAATTACATTTTTTGGATTGTGTATTTGCATTTGCGTGTCCAATCGATTGGTTGTCTAGTTTTTGTTCCCAGGATTTTGTCCTCGTTGAATGCCAGCTTTCTTGTAGTTTGAAATTCAACTCACTGCATTGCATTCTGTAGATTTGATACATTACTCTCCTTTCTTGAATTGCATTTACTTTACACGAGAAATGATCTCTATTCATATACATTATTGCAGCTGTGGAGAATAGTGGTCCTTACAAAAAGGGTGGTGAGGTGCCCATAGATACGGAATCAAGTATACAAGTAACTAAACCTGTTAATCCTGGGGAACAATCACCTACTGTCAAACAGGATTGGAAGGAGATCCCAAATGATGTCAGGTCAAGAACCCCCAACATGAGCTGGTCACAACCATGGAAAGATATGATTAATCAACGAGAAAGTAATGTGACAAATTCATCCTATTCTAGAGATGGAGTAAATTGGCAATCTAGTGAGGATCCCATACTTAAGAGGCAACTGTCCGGTGTTTTGGAGAGGGAACCCGAACCTAGGATGCTGCCTGCCCCAGAGGACCTTATCCTTCGCTACAAAGATCCTCAAGGTGAAATTCAAGGCCCTTTTTCTGGGATTGATATCATAGGCTGGTTTGAGGCAGGATATTTTGGGATAGATTTGGAAGTTCAGCTTGCAAGTGCACCGAAGGACTCACCATTTGCCTTACTTGGTGATGTAATGCCCCACTTACGAGCTAAAGCACGGCCACCACCTGGATTTTGTGTGTCAAAACTGGGTGAACTATCAGATTTTTCAAGCAGGCAAAATTTTAGTAGCCTGGGGAAAGTTCATACTGGTGCAAGTGATACTGATATAATCGGCAATGAGCCAAGGCCAGCAACAGAAGCTGAAAATAGGTTTTTGGAGTCGCTCATGTCCGGCGGCATGAACAATCCATCCCAAGGTTGGGTAATTACATACAGATACATTCTTTTCTTTATTTATAGTATATAATTTTGTTTGTTGAACTCTGAAGGTAGAGTATTACATGGTTCTAATCCATAAAGCTCCCCTCTACAGTTCAATCAAATTTTCTTATGGTGTTTTCAAACTACCTACCTAATGTCTTGTATGGTTTTGCTTTAGGTCTACAAGGATATCTTCCAAATAATCCTAGTAGCATTCCAGCATCTGGAATAGAAAGTGCGAGTGATCTCTATCTCTTGGGCAAGAGAATGGATCTTGAACGGCAGATGTCATTACCCAAACCTTACCCTTATTGGTCGGGGAGAGATGCTGCATCTTTGGTTTCCAAGCCAGATATAATCTCTGAGTCTCCTGCAGCTCAAGCAAAACTTCTCACATCATTGACTGACAACACTCTTCAGCCACCTCATCCACAAACTGTTGATTTGATGTCCATCCTCCAAGGATTACCTGACCGGTCTGCTCATGCGGTAAATTATAGTGTTGGGGTTTGGTCAAATTTTCCTGCACAAGGTGCTTTGGATCCTGTTCAAGATAAGATTGAGCTACATAACGCTCAAAATTTTCCTACCCAAGTGCCCTTCGGTATCCATCAGCAAAGGCAGCAAACACCTACCCCATCTTCCATGACTAGTTTGCTTGGTCAAACCATGGATAGTCCATCTGGCATTTTAAAACCTGAAAATGTAATCTCGTCAACATTATGTCAAAACTCCCAACTGCTAAATATGTTGCAGCAGCAGTATTTAATGCTGCAGCTACAACCCCAGACACCATTACAACAAACACAGCAGATGCTGCTGCTTGAAAAGATCATGTTTCTGAAGCAGCAACAGAGACTGGAGGAACAACAAAAGTTGCTACAGCAACAACAATTGCTCTCACAGGTTTTGCAAGAACATCAATCTCAGCAGCATGTTGGTGAACCCTCTTATGGACACTTACAGACTACACTATCAACAGGGAATTCATCCATGGATCCCAGTCGACTTCAGCCATCGTCACAAGATATTCTTCAGAGTGGTTCATGGATCCCAGACACCCAAGGTGAACATGCATTTAACTTAATGAATCTGCCATCACAAGTTTCCAGGGATACGAGTTATGCTGTCAGTTCTGGATCCCCGCCTGTGCTTCTACCACATGAGATGCACAGTAGTATCAATTTTGAGAAGAGCTTGGGCACTAATGCACCACAACTGGTAAATGACATTCAACAATCTTTGCCAGTGACAACAATAGTTGAAAACTCACCCTCATTGGAAGTAAACCTACCCGTCCAGATGGCTTCTGACTGCCATGCTCTTACCGTGGAGCAGCCACAGGACTCTGTTCAGAAGATTGATGAAATTGTACTAGCTGTACCCCTTGTGAATGATGCACTTTGTGGAACCTTGGAACACCATGAAACTGCTACTGCTAGAACCTGTAAAACTGATACACCTAATGAGGATGTTCAACCTACTGCTGCTATCAATGAACTGAAAGTTCAAAGAGAGAGAAGCAATGATCAGCCTTCTGTGGTGAGAGAAGTTAAGAATGTTGAAGCTCATGAGGTAAGAAAAACTTCTGAAAAGAAGTCTAGAAAGCAAAAATCTAACAAATCACAAACTTCTGACCTTGCAAAGGGACATTCAAAAGCTTCTTCCTCTTTGGTGCAATTGAAAACATCTGAAACTGAAACTGAAACGCCAGTTGTTGGTGACACTAACACTGCTGGACATAACATTGATGTTGTGTCTCCTGGGAAGAAAGAACAGAAAAAATCCAGTATGACCCCCGTGGATTCTCACTATGCTGTAAACACTTCAGCTGCTAACATTGTAATGGTTGATGTTAAAACAAAAGAACTCAAGGATGAGTCTCATTTTTCTGGTTCTTTCCCAGTGCAGAACCCAAGTGCAGAGGCTGCAGTACGTGCTTGGAAACCTGCCCCTGGTTTCAAGCCAAAGTCATTATTGGAAATCCAACAGGAAGAACAGATGAAGTTTCAAATGGAGATGGCTGTATCAGAGGTTACTTCTGTTAATTCTTTGAATTTGTCAACTCCGTGGGCTGGGGTTGTGTCTAGTTTAGAACCCAAAGTTTCTAGAGAAAGTCAAAGAGATGCAGATTTAGCTGAGTTAGCTATTGTGAAATCTGAAAGTCCTTTAAATCCAACGAGTAAAAAGAGCCCATTACATGACCTGCTGGCAGAAGAAGTTTTGGCAAAATCCAGGGAAAGAGATGCTGATGTTCCTGGCATTATTTGTACATCTTCTGGCAATGTTACCACTACAAATGTAGAACCTGTCGATGATGACAATTTCATTGAGGCTAAAGAAACTAAAAAGAGCCGAAAAAAGTCCAAAGCAAAGGGCACTGGAGCAAAAGTTTTAGTTCCTCCTAGTACTGCCGATGTGCATCTTGTTAATGCTAGTACTTTTCAGAAAGGCAAAGGTTCTTGTCCAGCACAGCTGAAGAAGGAAGTTTTGCCTTCAATTCCCTCAGGTCCTTCTTTGGGAGATTTTGTTCCTTGGAAAGAGGAGCAAATTAACCCTCCCCTCAGTCCAGCATGGTCTGCTGATTCTAAGAAACTTCCTAAACCCACATCATTAAGGGACATACAAAAGGAGCAGAAGAGGAATTCCTCTGCCCAGCCCACGAGTCCAATAACAATTCATAAATCCCAACCAAATCAGCCAGCTTCTGCTGCTGTTTCATCATGGTCCATTGTGTCTCCACCATCAAAGACTGCCTCTCCGATCCAGATTAATTCTCATGCATCTCAATCAAAACATAAAGGAGATGATGACCTATTTTGGGGTCCGATTGATCAGACAAAGCAAGAAACAAAGCAGTATGTTCTTTTCCCCTACCCACCCTTCCTCCCCCTTCTTAGATAAGAAAGAATACACACACACACACACACACCTTCATGTACTATTTTTTTTTTCTCTTGTGAAGTATTTTCCTGCCTCGCCAGACTGAGGGAGTTGGTAAAGTTGGGTTCTTGTTATTTGAACTGTTATAGCCAGCACTAGAAAGGTTATCCTTGCTGACTTAATATTTAATAAGATCAATTGGTGATCACTAAATGGATGCATGAACTTTTTTTGTGGTTAAACAGAGGTGATTTCCCACTTTTAGTGAATGCGGGCAGCTGGGGAGGCAAAAGCACTCCTACTAAAGGAAATGCAAGTGGGTCATTTAGTCGGCAAAAGTCGGTAGGTGCCAGGCCTATTGAGCGCACTCTGTCATCCTCTGCTGCCTCTGCTCAGTCCTCCCTTAAAGGGAAAAGAGATATGTTGAACAAACATTCTGGTAAGTCATTTTAATAAGATGAATAATGGTCTCCATATGATCTTTTTTGGGCTACCTCACACGTCAGACATGACAATGCATTTAACCATCATGCAGAGGCAATGGATTTCAGAGCTTGGTGCGAGAGCGAATGTGTTAGGCTTATTGGGTCAAAAGGTATGCTATTTTGCCACAAGGTTCCAAAATTATATGCCTATTCTTGGTAGAAGACAATGTCTGTATATCCTGTTTCTATTGGAAAGCGCCAATAACATATATTTGATTTGAGCTTCTCTTTTCAATCCTTAGGTGATGTCATTTTCATCATTGCTTGTCCCAGCTCTCTGAAGCAATAATTGTAGTTTTGCTTAGATATGATGCTGCTGGTTGATGCTCATTTATTTTTGGCATATTAATCTCGTCACTTTTCTTTTATTCTGTTGCTAGATACAAGTTTCTTGGAATTTTGTTTGAAGCAGTCTAGATCCGAGGCTGAGATATTTCTTGTAGAGAACCTTGGATCATTTGATCCGAATCACGAGTTCATTGAGAAATTCCTCAACTATAAGGAATTGCTAGCAGCTGATGTGCTGGAGATTGCTTTTCAAAGGCTTCATGACGGAAAGTTCACAGAGTTGGGAACCAGAAATGCGAATCCCAGCAATACAAACGCTGTGGATCCCAACCAAGACGGAGTCGACCCAGATGGGTCTTTGAAGGCAGGAGGGAAGAAGAAAGGAAAGAAAGGAAAGAAGGTGAGTCCGGTTGTTTTAGGATTCAATGTGGTCAGCAACCGGATTATGATGGGCGAGATTCAGGCGGTAGAAGATTGATAAACCACCATGACTTCGTTTTGAGAGATGATAACTGGTTTTTGAGATGTGGGGTTAGTTGTAAATACATTACTGTTTGTAAATGTCCAGCTAGGGCTTCTTTTCCCTCTTAAAATTAACCTTTTATAGCAGGGGCAATTGAATCCGTTCAAGCGTTTTTTGTTGTTGTTGGATGTCAGTTGCGGTAAAAGTGATTTATTTTTATGGGAGAGGTTTATTTATGAGTAGCAACGATCACAAAAAAAAGAGTTACATGTATTGGTAGTATTTGGATTAATTGTTTCATCAATTAGTCTTTGATTCCAGCTGATTTCTATTTTTTTTAACTGATTTACATCATCTTACTCCGTATAACCTTGATAACAAAAATAGAGGTGGGGAAGCAGATTTCTTCCATGGTATTATTTCCCATTGTACGAACAAGTAAAAGCCATTATGCATCTCATTGCTCGCTGGTGAATAAGAGACTTTGCATCGAATGCAGATGGTTGAATTTGAACAAGTTTCCCATTCCCGTGGTAGATGGCTTTGAGAGCTATTTGTGCAGTTAGCCCTAAATACAAATTTTATTGGTCATTGCACTATGTTTTTCTCTTTACTCCTACAATGGTTTGATCGTTTCTATGGGCTCTGCTTTTATAAAGGTGTATTTTTAAGTCTAACAATTTTTTTAATTCGTCAAATAATTTTGGTACTGTTTACTTATAAGATATTTAAAGATGTGTATATTTAATTTGAAAAACATTATGTTTTAATCTTTATTTTGTCTTCTTAAAATATGCAAAAAATAAATATACTATAAAAATGAATAGGTTTTATAAAAGTGATTAAAATGAATAGGTTTTAGAAGTTCAATGACCACTAAAAGTAGTTTACCAATAATGTGGGTTTAACTAAAATGGAACTAAAGGAACGTTTTCTCTAGGTGCACGTTAGCAGGACTAACGGAACCTGGGTTTCCCGTCGCGTCGCCGGCGTTTCTTTCTGATCTCCGGTCTGTTTTCACTCTTAGTTGTTCTTTCCATCTTTTGGTATGGATTGGAGAAAGCTTTTTGGGTGTCAAGCAAATCAAGAGCTGACCTGTTTTCCCCTAAATCAGAATAGCGAATCCCTAATTGTTCAACCTCCTCCTGAGGTCTTTGAGGCTGGAATGGCAGAGTGGAAGTCTTCTCTGGTTGGGCAGTTCCTAGGTGCTTCCCCAAATTTCATTACTCTGCAACGAACCATCGAAAAGCTCTGGAATCATCCTGCACAAGGGGCTCGAGTACAGGTTAGTCTCGCTGGAAATAATCTGTACATTTTCTCATTCAGTTCTGATTCAGCTAGGGACTGGGTCCTAGACAATGACCTTTGGCATGTTCTCCATAAACCTTTAATACTTAGGAAATGGGAACCTAATCTTCAAAGACTGAATTTCGACTTATCTAGATTGCCGCTTTGGGTTCATCTGTTTAATATTCCTCTTGAACTGTATTCAAAGGAAGGCCTTAGTTACATAGCCAGTGCCTTAGGAGAACCCATTTCTATGGACTCAATCACTGCTTCCAAATATAGGCTAGAATATGCTAGGGTATGTATCGAGATAGGGGCTAAAGATGATCTGCCCGAATCTGTTGAAGTGATGCTTGCAAATGGTTCTAAAACTACTATCTATGTTGACATCCCTTGGTTTCCTAATAGATGTAGGAGATTTAACACTTTTGGACATTCTGATAAAGGATGTTTTGTTAAATCTTCCTCTGCTCCTACTACTACAAAAATATGGAGAATAAAAAATAACCAAAATGACAATACTGATCAAACTCCTCAAGAAAAATCAGATTCCCTGCATACTCCACTGTCTGATCCTTCCCTGAAAAATTCTCTGCCTGAATCTTCCTCTTCAATAGAACAGGATGTTATCAAGGGTAAAGAACATGTTTTTGGAAATAGATCTTCTTTACAAACAATTCTTTCTAAAAACGATTCTATGATCCCTACTGATTTGTCAAATGAGGATTCTAAAGCTCAGTCATATATCCCTACTCCTAGAAAAGATTCATTTATTGGTAATCTACCTGAACTACTTCCTGAAACTACCCCCAAAATAAATGATTCTATCACTATTCCTAAGCGAGGTAGAGGTAGGCCAATTAAGATCCCTACCAAAACAACTATTAGAAGTTCATCAAACAGATTCGAAATTCTATCCACAGTGGATGAAGTCTCACCTCCCTCTGAGATTCAGCTCAGGAAAGCAAGGCCTGTTGCTGCTGGGGTTGCCAAACTCATCAAAGAGCTCAAATCTAAAAAGAAATACCATATCAGTAAGATCAAAAGTACCCCTGGAAAAAATATAGAGGGCACTTCTTCCTTTATCTCTAAATGATTATCTCATTATGGAACATAAGAGGATTGAACAATCCTCAAAAATAGAACAAGGTCCTGAATAGAGCTAAACTCTTCAATGTTGATGTTCTCTGTCTGTTTGAAACTAGGTAGCTGTAACAGGCCTGTTTAAAATCTTTAGGTAGCTGTAATATCATTACTAATTATGATTCAGCTGTCAATGGCAGAATCTGGATTATCTGGAAACAAGGCATTGACCTTTCTTACTGCTTCTCTACTGATCAGAGCATTACTGTCAAATGCCTCAACAATAATTCTTCTTTCATTATCACTTCCATATATGGCAGTAATAGTGATTCCCATAGAAGATCTCTTTGGCAGCACCTTAATTATCTTGAATCCTTATATGGATCTCAACCTTGGATTCTGGGAGGTGATTTCAACACATTCCTTCATTCCAACGAAAGCTCGGACTCTCATCTTCTTGGACCTTACTCTACCACTGATATGCTTGACTTCCAAGAAGTAGTTCATAATCTATCTCTCCAAGATCATCATTTCTTTGGCCCCACTTTCACTTGGAGCAACAAGCAAAAGAATACTTTTCTTGCTAGGAACTGGATAAGGTGTTAATTAACCCTCCTTGGGCCTCCTCTTTTCAAGGATCTTTTGTTGAATTTCTAGCTCCAGGTCCCTTTGATCACAGTATGGCTTTGGTCTGGACTTCTAAAGAGACTCAAACCAATAGACCTAAGCCTTTCAAATTCTTTAATTTCTGGACCAAGCACCCAAACATTCTTGAAGAAGTTTTTTCCTCCTGGCACATTCCTACTCAAGGTAACCCTATGCATAAACTTTTCATTAAACTTAAACGTTTAAAACCTTGCTTGAGGAAATTAAACAAGGAAAATTATAGTGACATCTCTGCAAGAGTAAAGCAAAAGAGAAATGAGCTAGAGCTGATTTAACTTTCTACATTAAATGGGCAGAATTCTTTAGATAAAGAACTTAATGTCCAAAAGGAGTTAACTGCCCTAGAGGATAATGAACTCATGTTCCTTAAACAGAAAGCAAAGGTGAGATGGATTAAAGAAGGTGACAAATGCTCTAAATTATTTCACACTGCTATTGCCTCTAAACTCAAAAGAGATACCATTAGGGTTCTTATCAACAATGAGGGTAAAAGACTTGAGTCTTATGATGATATGGCAAATGAGATCATTCATTACTTCAAGAAACAACTAGGAACTTCTGACCCTAATGTTCTTCCTTCTGATTCTAATTTCTTAAAAAACCTGCTTCGGTTTTCTCTGCCTTCTGAGACTGCTACTGAACTTACTAAAATTATTTCTGCTGAAGAGATAAAAGAAGCTTTGTTTAGTAAAGGGAATGACAAAGCTCCAGGCCCTGATGGATTCACTCCTATGTTCTTCAAAATCTCTTGGTCCGTGGTAGGAGAGGATGTTGTCAATACTGTAACTTTTTTCTTTCAAGAGGCTACTATTCACCAAGCTTTTAACTCCACCATTTTAGCCTTGATTCCTAAAATTCAAAACCCCTGCAAAGTTAAAGATTACAGACCCATTTCTTGTTGTTCAGTGGTATATAAAATTATCACAAAAATTATTGTTAAAAGTGTAACATCCCAAACTATGGGTTAGTGACCAAATTGTAAAGTTTCAGAATTTGGTGACTAAAGTAGAAGAATGGATTAGTTCAGTGATTTATTTGGAAGTATTTCCTAAAAGTTGTTAGTAATTATTAAAGGAACTAAAGGGTAAAATGGTCATTTGATCATTTAAGGAATTAAAAAAATGTGATAGTGAGGATATATATATATATTACACGTGGGAAATGAGGGAAACAATGTTTCCAGAATTCTCTTCTCCTCCTTTCTTCTTTGTGTGTGAAGCTCCAGCTCAAAGGTGAGTTTCTTAATTAGTTGGTTATTTGTTGAATTAAAAGTTGGGTTATGATTCTTAGGTGATAATTAAGCTTAAGGAAAGCTTAAGTTATCTTAAAATCAAAAGATAAATAAGTTAGGGAAGATTAAAGATTTGGAGTTCTAGAGTGAATTTCCAGAATGGAGTTGATAAGTTGAACTTGAAGCTAAATTTGACTTGTCATCAGCTTAATTAAGAAGTATTAAGTGTTAGAATTGGATTTGAAACATGTGGAAAATAGGGTATGATTCTTGAAATTCCTAAAGAGGAGAGGATATTAAGGTTAAAGATGAGATAAATGAATATTAATGAGTTTAAGTATGTATATGAAAGTTAGGAATATGAAATGGGTTGAAATATGAAGGATTTAATCCAAAAAGAATGAATTTTCGGGTTCAAAAAGAGGTTCTGGGCAGAGTGCATCGATGCACATTCATAGTGCATCGATGTATCAAGGTTAAAACCCAGAAATCGTTTGAAGGTGTATCGATGCACAGGAAGTGCATCGATGCACTCTTTTAAAAATAAATACATCGAATGCAATTCGTGCATCGATGCATAAGTAGTGCATCGATGCATCCCAGTAATAAACAAACATCGAATGCATTTTATGCACCGATGCATCAGTAGTGCATCGATGCATACCTTCATTAAAAGATGAAATTGCCTTTTCTCTTAGTCTAAAGAGTGAACCATTAGAGTATATTAGTTATAATACTAATATAGATCTATGTATGATGATGTAGATATAGAACGTGATCCCGTTCCGAATCAATTGAAGGATTATAATCGAATCAAAACAAAGCTAATGTGAGTGCACATTTTCTAGTATATGAGGTTCAAGGGAAAATAAGACTTGTGATAAGTCTATTTCCAATGGTAAAAACATGAATTCATAGAAGTATGTATTTGTTATGATTTATATGTGTGCATGAGTATATGTGTTATTGATATGAATATGGTAAGTAAAAGGGATTAATGGTGATGATAAGAATAATAATAAGGATAATGAAATGATAGGTCTATGTGAATATAGGTATTGATGTGTTTTGTATGTATTGTAAGAGGATATGTTTATGTGAAAACATGATAAGATGACAATGATTTACATGTCATATGAACACATGAGAAAGGTTATGAGCCATATGAAAGAGAAAGTATATGTGATACATGAGGGTGAATCCTATGTTTATATGAATATGAATTCATATGAGAATTGACATGAACTACGTGATTACATGTATATGTGAATGAAACCATGAGCTTATATGAATATATGATATGGTTACATGAATATGTAAAAGGATATAAAAGATAATGCCCATGTTATGTGTCATGAGAGTTAGGGGTATAGTTGGCATGCCAAGAGTCGAGGGTCTATGTGGTCCTTCGGGACATATATGTATTCTTTGAAACATGTGTAAAGTCTGGTGAGACACATACTTGATCCTTGGCATATGTATATGATTCTTAAGGAATGATATGTGGTCATTCGGGACATATATGTATTCTTTGGAACATGTGTGAAGTCTGGTGAGACACATACTTGATCCCTAGTATATGTATATGATTCTTAAGGAATGATATCTGGTCCTTATGGACATTATTATATGGCACTACGGTGCAATTCTACGCGGCACTCCGGTGCAATTCTACGTGGCACTTCGGTGCAATTATATGAGTTGTGGTGACAGCATTAGTGCACAACCTCTATGTACTCGCATATCTTTAGGTCTCACATGTGTATCATGGGCTATTAAATAGATAATATTAATAACATGATATGATAATATGTTTGTTTCCTTGTGGAATTTTATGTGTGATATTGATTGTACAAATGGTAGCTTATAAGACCATATGATGAAAGGAATCAATGATAGTGATAAAATAAGAAAGAAATGAAGATGATAATATAGTTGCTTGGGTGTACGTGTTTTATGATAGTATATATATATGGTTTACATTACATGATATGTATATGTGCAATTGGTTATGATATATGTTATATGATATGGACATAAGAGATCATAGGAACATGAGATAAGAGATATGAATGATAATGACATATATGTATGTATATATTTGTTACATGTAAAAGTATGAGTGATATGAAATGATAGTATTAATTGTTTAGGTATGATTATTAGTTACCGTCTACCTTATATGTTTATATGCCTCATTAAGTCTTTGACTTAGCGTGTAAGTGATTTACACGTAGGTTTCGAGAAGAGTAAAGAGCAATGTGGAGCAAGACAGGTCAGTTATCCTTACTAAAGGTCAGATCAGAAAAGGTGTGAATAATATGTATTTTAGTATATAAAGTTCTAGTTGGCATGTTTTCAAAAGAATCTATTGTTTAAGCTATGAACAATTTTATAAATGTTTCGAATAGTTATATGTAAATAATAAGTGAAATATACATGCTCTGATTGGTTTTGTAATAATGAAAATGTCTTTTATGTAAATTAGTCATTTATATGTTATAAAAATTTTAAATTACTCACTATTTTATACAAGTACATGTTTTAAAAGGTCAATGTGACACCTCGGATTCGTATCCGGGTCGGATACGGGTTGGGGTGTTACAAAAAGACTCTCTTTGGTGCTGCCAGATCTTATTAATCTCAATCAAACTGCTTTTGTGAAAGGGAGATCTATAGTTGACAACACCCTTCTTGCTCAAGAACTGGTGAAAGACTATGACAGGAAAAACATCTCCCCAAGGTCTGCTGTAAAAATTGATTTACAAAAGGCCTTTGATTCTCTAAAATGGGACTTCATTTCTTCTACTCTTGTTGCCATAGGACTGCCTCACACTTTCATAGGATGGATTGAAGCTTGTTACAGAGAAGCCAGATACTCCATATATTTTAATGGATCTCTTATTGGATTTTTTTAAAGGTCAGAGAGGAATTAGGCAAGGAGACCCATTATCTCCTATTATTTTTGTCCTGGCTATGAATATACTCTCTAAAATCCTCAATCTTGCTGCTGCTAGAGGAATTTTTGGTTATCATCCAAAATGCAAGAAGCTAGGAATCACCCATCTCTCTTTTGCTGATGATCTTCTAATTTTTTGCAAAGGTAATCTTGAGTCTATTGTTGGTGTTTCCAGTGTTCTTAGCCATTTCTATTCCTTGTATGGCCTTAATCTTAACGTCAATAAGACTGATACCTTGGAGTTCCTTTGGTCACTAGGAAACTTACTGAAACAGACTGTTTTCCACTTCTTGACAACTTCAAAGCTAGACTTCACCATTGGTCTGGAAAATCATTAAGTTATGCTGAAAGACTTGAACTTATAAAAAATGTCCTCTATAGTGTTGTAAATTTCCGGTTTCAACAGTTCATCCTTCCCCATAAGGTTATCAATCGTCTTGAGCAGCTTTGCTCTCGTTTCCTATGGAAAGGATCCGATAAAGCTGCCAAAGGAGCCATGATCAGCTGGAATAGACTTTGCTGCCCTAAATCTGAATGAGGCATTGGTTTGAAGGATCTTAATTCTTGGAACAAAGCTTGCATGATTCAACTCATTCGAAAACTTCTTGCGAGAAATGGATCTCTGTGGGTTGCTTGGATTCACGGTTATATTATTAAAAACAGTGAATTAAGTGACATCAATGTTAGTTCTTCTTTTAGCTGGAGCATTAAAAAGCTTCTCAAACTTAGAACTCAGGCCCTTCCTATTATTTCTGCTGGTATCACTAAAACCTCTGCTATTTGGGATGAATTAAGGGAGCACAGAGAAAAAGTTCCATGGTAGAAATTGCTCTGGTTTCCTTTCCACATTCCCAAACATAGTATGATTTATTGGATGATTATCCTCGACCGTCTTCCCACTCGTGATAGACTTTTTAGAATGGGAATCTCAAATGACCAGCTTTATATCCTCTGCAATAATGAACCAGAATCTAGGAACCACTTATTTTTTTAACTGTTTCTATGCTTCTTCTATCTGGAACTCTATCATGATTCTTACCAACTTGCGAGATTCACACGGGACTTGGAATTCAAGGAATGAATGTGCTGCTAAAAAATGGAAGGGTAAATCCTTACTTTCTATTATCCTAAGAATTGCCTGGAACGTTTTTAACTACTTATTATGGAGGAGAGAAATAGAAAGATTTTTAAAAGTGGTTCAAGAACAACATATCAAATTCTTAAGTCTATCAATGATTTTGTCCATATTCAGCTTAGTGATAAGGACATTAATAGGACTGATCATGTTAATTCTATTCTTTGTAGCCATTGAGGTCTTGACTAATCTATCTTTTGTTGTAAATAAGGGTTTATTCTCCCACTTGGGATGATTGTTATTTGTTGAACTTTCATGTTGGATAATAAAAATCTTATCAAAAAAAAAAAAAAAGTAGTTTACCATTAAAGAAGAAGAAGAAGAAGAAGCGTACGGTCTCACCAAACAAATTTAAGCGGTTCAGATTCAGTTTACACGGATCAAACCAAAACAAAATATTTAAAACAAATACTTGGCGCCTTAATTCATGTTACCTCCCATTTTCAAAATTTCACCGACAATAGATCTGCAAATCTCTAATATTATCGGCATTTCTATATCAATCAAAAGCAAAATCCATTACATTCTCTTTTCTGCCACTGATCCAGAAAATTAAGGACCTCCGACATGGATACAGACGAATCTGGAGCTACTTTTGCCTTCCGACGAGACATCTTATCCTATTCAAGAAAGAAAGTTTAAACGATTGAAGAAGGTGATATCGATTTCGGAGAATCCATCACTATCTGAAGACCTAGATTTCGATACATCAGATGCCCAAGATGTTGAGGGGCCTGAATCGGGTTCTGGGTCTAAGGGTTCATTTAACGAAGAAAACGAATTGGGTTCTTCTAACTTGGTTATTGAGATGAATTGAGTTTTAGTGTGATACCAAGCGACAGAGTGGAACAGTTTCTTTTTCATTCGTAACTTTTTTCTTGCCAATTTCACCTTCCACAACATTTCAAATATAAATTTTGGATCAGTATATTGGTCTAATGTACTCTATTTGGAATTGTACAACTTTGTAGGAAATTCGCAAGATATGTGTGTTCCACCAGTTGAAGGTGTTGTAGGGGAAGGGACATCATATGGATGGAATGATGGTGGTTTACATGTCTCATATGAAATCAAGGGCTCAATTGACCCCACAGAAGTTCATACTGCTGATTTAGTACATGTGTGGTGCCTCCCCAGCACAGCAAATGTTGGACCACAAGAAGTGCCTAGAAATTTGGAGCCTGTAAGTCATTGCCACACCGATTTATTTTTGTTTACTATCTAATAAGAAATTCGTTTTAGGAATACATTCATGCTGGTCCAAGGGGTAGATTTGGATAGTCTTTTTTTTTACCTTCTTATTTCTTGAGCATGCTTACAACTCTGTTCACCACATTCACGCAAACACTAGTGACAGGCTGTTGTTTTGGTTTAGATTTACATGATTGTATATCAAATTATAGTTAATAATTACTGTGCTCGTTTTCGTTGATATGTTCATTTTTGTGTAGGGAAAATTGTTTCTTTTGAGATTCGTTTTCATCCAAATAGATAAATCCATACCACTGTTCTTCAATTCTGTCTTCATCCTTGTATCTTTATAGTCTATAGGGCAGACTTCAGATAGATATCACAATATTTGTGTGTATTATAATTTTATGTTTCCTTAATGTGTAGGCTGAAATAAACACTGTTTTTGCACATAATTGATTGCTTTTACTATTCTTCTTTATTCTCTATTTTGATTTTAGTTATGTTTTTGGACATAAGGGTTACAAAGAACAAATTTAAGGGGGGGGGGGTTACCACAATAAATGACTCAGATGTTCTTTTAATGTATATATTTCTCTTGACTACTAATGATGTTTTTAATCTTGAAGATAAACCTTCTGGCAGCTAGAAATGAGAGGGAAAGTGTTCAAATAGCTATCCATCCAAAAGTCTTTTGGAGTCGTTCTAGTGTTGCTGGAATTGTGCAAGTTCAATGCTGTGACTTATGCTCGGCATCTGGTGATCGGTTAGTTTCTAGAAAATTTCAGTTCTTTGTTTGTGATGGTTTTAGATGATGTTCTCACTATATTCAGCTGCTGGCAGGTTGATTGTTGGTGAATCATTAAAAATGCGACGAGTGGTTCCTATATTGGGTGTACCTGATGCTCTTGTACCTCTTGATCTTCCAATTAGCCAAATAAGCCTACAACCTGGGTACGACTCTGTTCTCATAGTGCATGTTTTGGTGGCATGAGCGAATACCAAGTGGCTCCTTATTGCTCAGCACTAAGAGGGTTGTGCTTGTTTTTCCCCTGCTGCAGGGAGACAAGTGCTGTTTAGCTTTCAATAGATGTGCCAAATGCACAGCCTCCAGGCATATATGAAGGGGAGATAATCATTAATGCTATGATGGCTGATATAGAGTAGCACTCCTTCCTCTTTTACACTGTTTACCTTAGTTTTTGTTCTGTCCACTAAAATCAATGAATAGCATCTGCAAAAAGATTGTGCTTAATAGTTTGTATGACTTTTGTATGAATGTAGTAGTGTTTCCCATATTATCTCATACATATTTTATAAGCATGTAATCTCAAGAATTTGTACCTATAATTCAGATCTTCAACACAGTGCTTGGGCAAGGCTGAAAAGCATCAGCTATTCACTGAACTTCATAATTGTTGATGCTATGGAGCCTATAGATGGAAAGCCATTGGATGAAGTGGTGAATATCCAAAACTATTCATCTTTGGAATTTCTATTACATTTCCATTCTCTTTTCAAACTGTTCATATCATTAATTGCTTTGTAGGTGGGAAGAGTGAAATCTGCAACTACATCTTTAAGAAGAGTTCTTCTTTCTCCATCATTTTCTGAGTTCTTTTCGGATAATGGATCAGTTGATATGATGGATGAAGATCCCATATCAAACCTTCTATACGAGTCAAGTTAAGTTTGACTGTTTGGGACGTCGTTGTTCCAACAACTCCATCACTTCCTGCTGTATTTGGTGTATCCTGCATTTTGTTAAGTTGAATTCTTTCTGTATTAATAATATTCGTAGGCTGTCACCTTATGACTGAGAACACAGACTAAAGGGTTCTTAGTCTTCACTTTACCCATGTCTAATAATTAAATTAAGATTATATTTGGAATGGCTGATGAAAAGTTATAGGTGTTCCATTTTCTCTCTAGAGAACATGTTGTCTGCTTAACCATGTATTTAGATATCTGATACTGTAATTGAGGATTGGTTTGGTGTCGAACATGGGAGCAATGAGTGGTATGATGCATTGGAGCAGTATTTTAAATGGCTTCTTCAGTACAGAATCAGCCCATATTTCTGTAGGTGGGGTGATAGCATGCTTGGTTTGACTTACACATCTCCCTGGCCAGGTAACAAAGTGAATTTTCATTAATCTACTTTTACAGCTGTGTTTGGCTCCACTTATTCCCTCTGATATATATTTTACCTCTTTACTACTGCAGCGGATCATCCAAAATCAGATGAATTCTTTTCAGACCCACGGCTAGCCATGCTTATTGATGCGCAACAGTAATGAGGCAGCAAAGGATTACTTGCAGAAAGAAGTGGAGATACTGAGGACAAAAAATCATTGGAAGAAAGATTATTTTTACCTATGGGATGAGGTATTATCTTATTTTGAATTGGCTGAAAAATTAGCTGTTATATGCCCTATTAGTGAGACTTATAATGTCCATGAAAGACACGGTGTCTCAGTTTTTCTCTATTCACTATTTTGGTCTCTACATTTCTATATCTTAATTCTTTTTTTTGTTGTGCTAGGAATCTTTTATAGTTTTTATTGTATATCCAGTAGTTGGTGGTGTTTCAGTCATCAGCAAATTGAGTGTGGTAATCTTGATACACTGATGAGAATGTATTTCTTTTTGCAGCCATTGAACATGGAACAATACTAATCTCTATGCAACATTGCGAGTGGGATTCATGCTTATGCTCCTGATGCTCGTGTTTTAACCACTTACTATTGTGGTAAGATTTCATGCTCCACTTTGTTGAAGTTTTCTATTAGCATTCCAGCTACCTCTTTCATAAATCATAATTTGCCCTTGAGTAATTGTTTATTAACTGTTTGTATGAGGAATCAGATAGTTGTAACCACCCAATATGATAGTAAAAAATTTCTCACTTTCTCAGGATACTTGGTCACTTCGGCATGTGGTAAAGAGGTGCCATGGTCATAGTCTGACTTCTAAAGGCTTATTGATTTGCTGTTCTAGTTGGCGTGCTATATTATTGAAATTATGTATTTCAGGAGTCATGTTGCTATTTTGACCTTATAGAATTAGCAAGGCATCTTTTTCTTAGCTATTGCGATGGTTCACCTGGTTTGCTTCTTTCATGCAGGACCAAGTGATGCTCCTCTTGCACCAACTCCTTTTGAGGCTTTTCTAAAAGTGCCAAAGTTCCTACGCCCTCACACTCAAATCTA